CCTTTGAAAAGCACAGAAGCAGCATTTTAAAGAGGCAGCCACCAAACAGCTGATCCATGTATCAGCTGTGCAGGGGCTGCACCTTTGAAACGCCACTTTGGAGTATCCCTCCTCCCCCCCTTTCCTGCCTCTCTTTCATAATGCTTATCAGATAGTCGACTAGTCTTTTACATCCCTACTGTACATGTCTATCCCACATGTGGCATACTCATAGGTACCATCACTTGAAGAACCACCAAAACGGCAAAAGTTAAGTTACTATAAAAGTGTTCACTTGACCATATTACAGACATGCCCTTCTATTCCCATTTCTTTTATTAAATAGAGAATGTGTCTTACAATACCAATAATTTCTTATCTCAAAAACAACTGACAGTCATTCATGTGAATTAATGGAACCTTCACCTTTCATAATGGAGGCAGATCAAAGCCATCAGTAACTGACATGCTTTCTGCCAAATAATGATCTACAAAACTCATCAATTTTAAAATTAACCTCCATTCATCTCTAGATAAGAAAATTATATGCAGTGAATGCATATTTTACTACCAAGTATCAGAGGGGTAGCCGTGTTAGTCTGAATCTGCAAAAGCGGCGAGGAGTCCTATGGCACCTTATAGACTAACTGAAGTATAGGAGCATAAGCTTTCGTGGGCAAAGACCCACTTCGTCAGATGCATCTGACAAAGTGGGTCTTTGCCCACGAAAGCTTATGCTCCTATACTTCAGTTAGTCTATAAGGTGCCATAGGACTCCTCGCCGCTTTTGCAGATTCAGACTAACACGGCTACCCCTCTGATACTTGGTAGTAAAATATGCATTCACTGCATATAATTTTCTTATCTAGAGATGAATGGAGGTTAATTTTAAAATTATTATTGCTTTAAAATAGTAAAAAAAAAAAGAATTTCCAAGCAATATTTCAGGAGGACAGAAAGTAAAAAACACAATTCTTTGTGAAAGTACACAGAGAAGACAAAATTAGTACTTCACATACTTCTTTATTGTAGCATGCACTTTTGCAGCATGAAGGATGATATACATTCAGAATTAATGAACCCAGCCATAATATTGTGGTGTATATCTGTGAAGAATTTGTTACTCACCTTGTGCAGTAACATCTGTTCTTCGAGATGTGTGTCCCCGTGGGTGCTCCACTACAGGTGTCGGGCTCGTCCCGGCGCCACAAACCGGAAAGTTTTCGCCAGCAGTAGCCCCCTCCGGAGGACCGCGCATGCGCAGAGTGTCCCGCGGCGTTCGCGCCTTTTCTGCGTCGCGCGGTCCGACTCGCCAGTTCCTCCTAGCCGGAACATCTGAAAGAGAGAAAAACAGAGCTCCGAAGCAGGGAGGAGGGCAGGTCGTGGAGCACCCACGGGGACACACATCTCGAAGAACAGATGTTACTGCACAAGGTGAGTAACAAATTCTTCTTCTTCGAGTGATGTCCCCGTGGGTGCTCCACTACAGGTGAGTATGAAGCAGTCATCCAAAAAGCTGGTCGTGCTTCGGAATTATCTGTGCACAGAAGAAAGAACTGCCTGAGCGACTGCTACGTCTGCCGCTTTGAGACGATCAAGGGCATAATGTCGAGCAAATGTGGATGAGGACGACCATGTTGCTGCACGGCATATGTCACGTAGCGGTACGTTCTTTAGAAATGCTGTGGAGGCAGCCATACTCCTGGTTGAGTGCGCTGTTGGTGGACAGGGTAAGGGCCTGCCCCTGAGGGTGTAACAGCGAGTGATGCAGTTAACGATATGCGACGATATACGCTGTGACGACAGTTGATGACCTTTAGAGCGGGTCACCAGTGATGATAGTAATCGTGGAGACTTCCGGAAGGGACGCGTTCTGTCTAAATAGAATGCCAACGCCCTTCTGATGTCTAACGTGTGCCAGCGGGCTTCCTCAGGTGTGGCATGTGGCTTGGGGTAGAAGGTAGGAAAGACTATAGGCTCATTGATGTGGAATGACGAATTAACCTTTGGCACGAAGGCTGGGTGACATCTCAGTGAGACGCCCTGTTGAGTGAATACCGTATAGGGAGGATCGGCTGAGAGTGCCGCGAGTTTGGAGACTCGTCAGGCTAAAGTAATCACAAGGAGAAAGGTAACTTTAAGGGTGAAAGTCTGTAAATCACAAGTTGCAAGTGGTTCAAATGGTGGACGGGTAAGAGTGTCCAGTACAAGGGTAAGGTCCCATGGTTCTGAGATAGGCCTATGCGGTGGGTAGAGATTGGAAATACCCTTAAAGAACTTCTTCATAAGTGGATGAGAGAAGACGGAGAAACCCTCTATTGGAGCGTGGAAGGCCGAAATTGCCGCCACATGTACTCTTAGGGAAGCGACTATTAAGCCTTGCGAATGTAAATGGAGTATATAGTCTAGGATGCATTGGATATGTGCCTTGAGAGGGTCGATGGTTTGTGATTGGCACCAAGCAAAGAAGCGACGCCACTTGTAGAGGTAAGATCGCTGAGTGCTGTGACGCCTGCTTTGTACCAGTACATCCTTGACTGCTTGGGAGCAGGTTATCTCTGCGCCTTGGAGCCAGTTAGGAGCCAAGCTGTCAGGTGCAAATGATCGATGTTTGGATGGAGAAGATTGCCGCGTTGCTGCGAGAGCAGGTTGCTCAGCTGTGGAAGTCGTTGAGATCGGCATATTGACATCTGCATGAGCTGCGTCAGCCAGGTTTGGCGAGGACAAAAGGGAGCCACCAGGATTACTGTCGCTGCGTCGGATAGTATTTTCCCTATTACTCGGGGGTATCAGTGGAATTGGGGGAAAGGCGTATAGGAGATGGTATGTTCCCCATTTGAGCAGGAAGGCATCCCCCATCGATTGGCTGCCTATGCCCGCTCTTGAGCAGTAAGAGCGACATTTCTTGTTGCCGCGAGTGGCAAAGAGGTCGATCTCTGGGTAACCCCATAACTGAAACAGATTGCAGGCTACGGAGTGGAGGAGTTCCCATTCGTGTTGGGATTGGAAGGATCTGCTGAGTGCATCTGCAATTGTATTGGCCTTGCCAGGGAGATAGGAGGCTGTGAGTGTGACACTGTGGCGAATCGCCCAGTTCCAAAGGCGCACTGATTCCGCACACAAGGTCCTGGACCTGGCTCCGCCCTGTCGATTGATGTAGTATATAGTACATATGTTGTCCGTAAGGACTTGTAGTGTGGTTCCCTGTATCTGGTGGACGAAGTGGCAACAAGCGTTGAAAACTGCCCTGAGTTCCAGGAAGTTTATGTGGAGCAGGGTTTCTTGGTGGGACCATAAGCCTTGGACCCGATAGTGCAGCATGTGTGCCCCCCAGCCTACGAGGGACGCATCCGTGGTAAGCTGGATTGATGGGGGTTGAGCCCGGAAAGGGACACCAGCAAGAGTATTGGCCGGGTGGAGCCACCATGCGAGTGAGTCCTTGACACGGGCAGGGACAGGCGTGAGACTGTTGATATTGGTAATGCCGGGTCTGTAGGTCGCGAGAAGCCAATGTTGCAGGCACTGCATGCGAAGGCGAGCGTGGGCTATGACGTACGTAGTGGAGGCCATGTGGCCTAACAGTTTCAAGCAGGTAAGGTATGAGACTGTCGGGGCAGTAAGCAGGACGCTCGAACGCCATAGCGGTGGTAGAGTCTAGTTCGGCTCCAATGAAAACGATGGACTGGGTGGGAATCATAGTAGATTTTGGAAGATTGATAATTAGTCCAAGAGTCGAAGATACCTTTTGTAGGGGTAACTGCGGTCTCGGTCTCTTGTCTCGAAGAGGCCGTGAGGAGGTAGTCATCGAGATAAGGAAAGATGGTGATGCCGGCTCGACGGAGGTATGCAGCTACGACTGCCATGGTCTTTGAAAACACTCTTGGGGCTGCGGATAGGCCAAATGGGAGCACCGTGTATTGGTAATGATCGTTGCCCACGGTAAATCGTAGAAATCTCCTGTGAGCTGGATGGACAGCAATATGAAAGTATGCGTCCTGTAAATCGAGGGACACGAACCAATCCCCTTTGTGTAGTGCTGGGATGATGGAGCCCAGGGTAACCATCTTGAATTTCTGTCTTCGCAGGTGGCGGTTGAGGCCGCGAAGATCTAGGATAGGTCTCCATCCTCCAGACTTCTTCTCGGTGAGGAAATACCGGGAATAGAAACCTCTGCCTCGGAACTCGGGAGGAACTACTTCTACCGCACCTATAGTAAGTAGGTGCGTGACCTCCTGATGTAGAAAAGCATTCGTGCCAATCTAGACGCTCTTTTCCGCAAATGCTTTTAACTGAAAACTTTTCCGTTAAAAGCATTTGCTGAAAATCATGCCAGTCTAGACATAGCCCAATAGTATTAAATGTACAATAGAAAAATCTCTAGGCAGTGAATTAAAACAGGAAAGTCAAAATGTTTTTAATGTATCCAAATATTTAGACAGAAAAAATCCCCAAGGAAGCATCAAGTATTTTGTCATTTTTTTGCAGTGAAAGTATCATTGCACCCTTCAGATAACAATGAAAGTTCATTTTCCAAAGGGAAACTGCACTGTAGGAAAAAATCCAAGGAGCTCTACTGACATTTCAAGAGCCTCATGAGAGATTTTGAGAGCCCTGACCCTGAAGCAAACAGGCATGGGATCACCCCCTGGAGAACAATGCCTATTTTGGAACAAGGGATGAGGCAGCAGATGCAGAGACAAGCGGATGTAGCGAGTATCCAGGGTGGGGGAAGAGGTAAACAGAGAACTGCCTGGGGTCACCTTTTGCTGTGGATGCTCACAGAGAGGGCTTCTTTCCCAATGCCCACCCCTGACCTCTCTCCCCATGTGTGTACCACTATCTACCTATAGCAGCTCAGAACGCCATTGGATTTTGGGTCAAAAACTGTTGTGGGGTTCGGTGTTTTTGACGAAATGGTAACAAATCCCTTTTGGAGTGTGGCAGAAGTTGCATCAACAGCACCAACTTCGAGTAATTATCGAAGTCGTGGTTGGCCAGTTGGGCAGAGTAGTTTGCCATTCTTAGTGTGGCTGTTGCCAACGAATATACCTTCCTGCCGAGCAGGTCCAGATGCTTAGCTTCCTTGTCCGCAGCAGAATTTCTCGCTTGCGCGGACCTTGCCTTTCTTTTGCTGGGCTGCGTCGACAACGATGGAATTAGGGACGGGGTGAGTAAAAAGAAATTCTGCGTCTTTGGCATCAATAAAGTATTTCCTGTCTGTGCGTTTATTGGTAGGGGGCACAGATGCCGGGGTTTGCCAGATGTCATTAGCTACCTCAAGAATAGCGGCATCGAACGGGAGAGCTAGTTTCGATTTGTTGGCTTGTTGTAAGTTTCTGAGGAGGGCATGGTGCTTTTGTGGCGCCTCGGAGGTACATAAGTTTTGTGAATATGCTATCCGTTTGTCCGTGAGAGAGGGTTTGTCATTAAACACCGCGTCGTCCAGGGAAGAGGAAGAGGCATCTGTGGGAGAGGCCGTGGGCTGTTGCTCTGCTACAGGTGACTGAGTGATATCGTCATGTGGGGCAGAGGCTGTTGACGCATCCCCACTAGGCGTTGGTGGGCGTTGAGCCGGCGGGATAGAGTCCTGAGTAATTGGCCGTGGTGAAAGTAATTGCTGCCGGTCTGGGGACGAGGGTGAGTGTCGTGTGATTGAACGTGAACGATCAGAATGGGGCGAGGTGTACATACAATGGCGAGAGCCACGGTGTGAATATTGCGGAGAGTAAGAAGCAACGCTCCTGCGGCGATAGTATCGGGAGCGAGGAGATCGCGGGGATCGTGAGCAGTATGAGTAGTGATACGGCAATCTCGAGTAGTATGAACGGTGATAACGGGGCGGTGTAATAGATCGCCTCGGGGATCTGTAGTAACGGTGCGTAGGGGAATAACCGTAATGGTGATCCCGCCGTCTTTGACGAGGTGAGAGCGATGCTTCAGGGGAAAACGTCGCCCTATCGGAACTGGGGGAAGGCATACGAGGATGGTGAGTCTTCCTTTGAGCCTTAGTCGGTACCCCCGTGGATGGGAGAGGCCTGGGGACTGGGCTACCCGGAATGGAGACAACTGAGGCAAAGTCAGAGACTTCCTCCGGGAGGCGTGGCGACCGAGGTGGAGAAGATGGGGATGGTGGTGCCGTCTCATCCCCAGAGCCGTTGGGTTGCGGGCCCGTAGGGGCCAGCGCCGAAGCAACGGACGGAGCCAGGTCAGCC